TCACCATGTTGGCCAGGATGGTCTCGATCTCCTGACCTCGTTATCCGTCTGCCTCAGCCTCCCAAAGTGCTGAGATTACAGGCATGAGCTACTGCACCCAGGCTTCTATACCTTTACTACTTACAACTATTCATATTTCCTATTTCTTTTTGTTTCAGTTTAGCAAATTATGTTTATCTAGGGATTGTTCCATTTAATCTAAATTTTAAATTTATTGGCATGCTATCCTCTGTTTATCATTTACATGTTTATACAGATGTGAAGTGATGTGCCACTTCTTATTCCTGATACTGGTTTATTTGTGTCCTTCTTATTTTGTCTCACTCAATCTTGCTTGAGTTTATCAATCTTACTTGGCTTTTTTTTCCCTTTGAGACAGTGTCTCATTCTATCTCCCAGGTTGGAATGCAGTGGTGTGATCATAGCTCACTGCAGCCTGGAACTCCTGGGCTCAAGTGATCATCCTCCTGCCTTATCTGCCTACATAGCTGGGATTAGAGGCATATACCACCATGCCTGATTTTTTTATTTTTTGTAAAGGTAGGGGTCTCACTATGTTGATCAGGCTGATCTTGAACTCCTGGGCTCAAGCTATCCTCCCACCTCAGCCTCCCGAATTGCTGGAATTTCAGGTGTGAGTCACCATGCCTGACATTACATGGCTTTTTTAAAAGAACTATTTTTAGTCCTTTTTCTTTTATGTTTGAGTTTTGTTTTATTACTTTCTGTTCTTTATTATTTTATTACATTATTAGAGCTTTATTTGTGGATCTTTTCTAACCACTTGAATTAGATATTGATATCATTGATTTCAGCTCTTCTTTTCTAATTGTTTAGGGCTATCAGAACTATGTCACATTTTTTTATATAGCATCTTCATAATTTTTGAGTGGAAAATATTTTATAATTTCTATTGTGATATCTTTTATCCTTGGATATTTTATCCTTGGGTTATTTTCAAATGATTTTGTTAATTTTATGCCATTTGGGAATTTTCTAGCAATCTTGTTGACTTTAATTCTTCTATGGTCAGACAACATGCTCTGAATTATGTCAGTATTAGCAGAATTTTGTAAACATTTTGTGCTCTTGAAAAAATCTATAGCCTAGGTATTAAGTACAATTTCTAGATGTGTCAGGAGATTAAATTTGTTAGTTATGTTAATATCTGTATACATACAGCTTATTCTATTATTTGAGAAAGTTTTTTTAAGTCTGCTAGTGAGACTAGACATTTGTTTCCTATTTAGTTCATTTAATTTTTTTTTCTTTCTGTATTTGAAGCTGTGCTATTATGTAATACAAAGTTATCACTATGGTAAATTGGCTTTTGTCATTATGAAGTATCTTATTTCTTAATGGTTTTTGCCTTAAAGTCTGTTTTGCCTGTTATCAATATTACTACAGCATCTTTCTTTTGGTTGTTGTTTGTATAGTACATCTTTTCTCATCTGCTCACTTTCACCTTCTGTGTATTCTTGTACTTTCTGTCTATATTTTATAAGTAGTATATTTTTAATTTTTTAACCAGTCTGACATTTCATGTCTTTCAGAGTTCAGTCTCTTTGTACCTAGTACATTTACATAATGTTTAACTTTGCCATTTAACTGTGAAAGTGTTTTGCCCATTCTGTATTCTTTTTCTTTCCATTCATGCTTTCCTTTAGATTTATCACCTTTTGGCCGAACCCAGTGGCTTGTAATCCCAGCACTTTGGGAGGCCAAGGCTGGCAGATCCCCTGAGTCAGAAGTTCGAGACCATCCTGGCCAACATGGAGAAACCCCATCTCTACTAAAAATACAAAATTAGCTGGGCATGGTTGCACATGCCTGTAATCCCAGCTACTCGGAAGGCTGAGGGAGGAGAATCACTTGAACCCAGGAGGCGGAGGTTGTGGTGAGCCGAGATTGTGCCATTGCACTCCAGCCTGGGCAACAAGAGCAAAACTCCCTTTAAAAAAAAGAAAAAAAGATTTATCACCTTTTGTTGTTCTATTTCCCCTCTCTAGTCACTAGGTAATTATAATATTTTAAATTATTTGTTCAGTAGATAACCCTGAGATGAAACCCTGCATCCGTGATTCAATAGTTACATGTAGGTTTTTCCCTCTTCCCAAGCAATAAAGAGATCTTAGAGTAGCTTATTCCATTTAACCTCACATATATTATTGAAATTATATATTTTAATTCTATATATGTCCAACCATGTCAGACACTATTATGTTTTATGCAGTCAATATTCATTTAAAATATTCATTTTTGCCTTTCCTTTCTCTTCATTTTTTTCAATGCTGAGCTTGTATCTGAGATTATTTTTCTTCTGCCTAAAAAACATCCTTTAATATTTCTTTTACTCAGATATGCTTATCCCATATTCTCTTCTGTTTTTTTTCCAAAAATATCTTCATTTGACCTTCATTTTGAGGGGATCTTTTTGTTAAGTTTGGAACTTTAGATTGGCAGTTATATTCTTTCAGCATTTCAAAGGTATCATTTATTGTTTTCTGTCTTACATAGAATCTGTTGAGAAGTGAACCATCTGTCTAAACTTTTATATAAAAGGCAAGGCAGCAATATTTTCGGCTTTGTGGAATCATAAGGATTCTGCTGCAACTACTCCACTCTGCCAGTGTAGCACCAGCATCTATAGGCAGCACATTAACCAAGTGGCGTGGTTGAGCTCCACTAAAACTTCACTTACAGACTCTGAAATTTGAATTTCATACATTTAAATGTGTCAGAATATCATTCTTTTGACATATTTTTCAACCACTTTAAATGTAAAAATTGGCTAGGCGTGGTGGCTCATGCTTGTAATCCTAGCACTTTGGGAAGTTGAGGCAGGCGGATCACTTGAGGCCAGGAGTTTGAGACCAGTCTGAGCAATATGGTGAAATCCCATCTATACTAGAAATACAAATTTTAGCCAGCCCAGGCATAGTGGCGTGATCTTGCCTCACTGCAACCTCCACCTCCAAGGTTGAAGCGATTCTCCTGCCTCAGCTTCCCAAGTAACTGGGACTACAACAGGTGCCTGCCACCACAGCTGGCTAATTTTTGTGTTTTTAGTAGAGACAGGGTCTTACCATATTGGCCAGGCTTGTCTCTAACTCCTCCTTGTGATCCACCCACCTTGGCCTCCCAAAGTGCTGGAATTACAGATGTGAGCCACCGCACCTGGCTCTCTCTTTTTTTGGCTGCTTTTAAGAGTTTAGTTTTCAACAGTTTTACTGTTGTGTGCTTTAGTGTAGTTTTCTTCATATTTCTCACACTGAAGATTCATTTGGCTTCTAAGGTTTGTGACTTGATTTTTTTTTTTTTTTTTTTTTTTTTTTTTCTAATGTTTTCAAGTTTTTCATCATTTTGTGCTTCAATATGGATACTTTATACTGACCTATCTTCCATTTTGCTAACTCTCATGTGCTGTCTCTACTGTGCTCTTGTCTCATACTTTAAGTTACTATATTAATTTTTCAGTTCTAGAATTTTCATTTGGTTATTTTATACTTTAGAAATCTTTGTGAGATTGTTAATCTTATGTTCTTAAACATAGTTATCCTAGTTATTTTCAAGTTTATGTCTTGAGACCTCAATTATCTGGATTTATTTTAGATTTTAGATCTGTTTCTCGATTTTTTTCCCATGTCACATTTGTCTCTCTCTCTCTTTTTTTTTTTTTTTTT